TGAACGAACCTTCCACACATCGAAAACGCACAGCAGCCTCTTGGACATCTCTCGACTCACTCGGGAAACGGTGGCATCCGAAGGGTACAATTCCGGGGGGAGCCGAACTCGGTACCTGGTCCAAAAGGCCACCTTGACATCCCGAAGCTCGCTGTCTCCCAGCAGTGAATCGAGGTCAGTGGCACTCACTTTGGAACGGTCGGTGTCACACTGCTTGAAATACAGTGAAACCGCGGACCAGGCCCGCCTCAAACGAGCCACCTGGATCATTCGATCCTCTCCCAGATTCAGTTTGCCCAGGAAGGTTTCAACCTGTGCCTCCGAGTCGAAGAAAAACCGAAATTCTTCCAGGTTGGCAATCTTGTGTTTGAGGAGGGCTTGGACGACCGATTGCTCCAAATCGAAGTTGATTGCCAGGGCCCCAAGGGTTTCCTCAATGGTCTTCCCAGGTGGAGGCACCAACCCCAAACTTGCCATTGCCGCCGGGGTCACTCCCCGGCCTGGCTGTCAACGCCGGATCTAGTCCTGCAATACGAAATGGGCTGAGGCAGACCCCGTCCCATGACCGACTTCCCTCCCTGTCTTCCACGGAAACCCCCATGACAGTGCAGGTGCAGCGGAGTCAAGCCGTGGAGCATCACTTGCGGGGGACTGTCACTCGCCCTTCAACTTCTCCCCAAAACCTAAGGTCCCAGCCAAACTTCACACCCCTTGGGGGGGGGCCTCAGAGGTTCTGGGGTTAAAACAGTTCGTCCTCACATCGACTTTCTTCTCACTCTCAGCAGAGTCGGGCCCGTCGGCACAGGCTGAGGCCCTCTCAAGCAGAGTCGGGCCCGTCGGCACAGGCTGAGGCCCGTGCAAAATCAAGCGCGCCGGGGCGCTACAAGGCAAAACCGCAAAACATCAGCCATGGTCTACTCACTGCGCCGCCACCCAGCTGGAGCTCGCCCCTGGCAAAGGTGGCACAAAGTCCGCCCCCACGCTGACGCCTCCTCCCAGGTGTCGCACAGGATCGGATCCCTCAAGCGCCCAGCACCAGAGCGCGCCTGCTTGTGGCTGCACAGCGGCGCATCGTTCATCATGCGCAGGTGGATGTTCGAGCGCACCGTGGTCACGTAGCCCACCGGCAAAGGCCACGAGGGTCCCACCCTCGTTTCCTGCCCATTCGCTCCACCCACATCCCGGTGTCTTTGTCGCGGGCGATCCTGCTATACTCGATGTTTCTGCGGGCCCGAATCCACGCCTCCGACTCCGAGATGGTCTCCCGGGTCAAGACTGCACGGGCCAGGATGCCCATTGCCGCGGCCCGGTGCCGGCCCGCCATGCAGTGCACGAGCGCCTGCTCACCAGCCGCCAACGTCTGCTGCAGCACAGCCCACATGTTCTTCCAGCCCTCCGTGCGGTCCCGTGGCTTCGTGATGGGCATGTACACCGGGAACGCCCCCGGCAATGTCACACCCCCCCGGCTCTCCGGGCTGTTCGGGAGGCAAGTGATCTGCAGTGTCACGGGCGGGAAGTTGGGCACCTCCACCTGCTTCGGGAGTCCGGACAACCACAAACGGCCACCCTTCGCATTCTGGTAAATGCACGTCGCCACCTGCGCAGCGCGCTCCTCCGCAAGGGCATCAAACAGCTGGTCCCCCTGGGCCACAGGGAGCACAGCCGCCGGACGCGAAGGCTGTGACGGGGCTTCCGAGTCACCCTCGGGCCAGGCGTCACGCCTCCTCCGCTTCTCACCAGGGCCGCTCGGCTCTGGCGGCCGCTTCTGGGGCACCGCCTTGATCTTGGGCGACAGCATCATCGCCTCGGCACTAGCCGAGCCACTGCTAGCGGCCCCTGACGGCCGGGCCGGGATGGACGCCTCCGGGTCCTCCACCATGACCACCTTCGTCACCCGGCACACGCCCGCTGCATGCTTCCCTCCGCAGGCTCTCCCCGTCAAGCGGACACACGCGCAAAGGTGTGCAAAACCGCACACTCGCTCCCCGGGGCATTGCCCCGATTGGAACGCCGGGCATAGCCTCTTGCCATCACGCATCACTGCGGTCAGGCGCCGGCCGTTGAGCGAGGCCGGCATCGTGGTAGCTGGCTTAGCCGCCTCTGCCTTGGCTTTGGCGATCCGCTTGAGCTTCTGCGTCAGGGCGAAGCGCTTCTGAAGCTCCTTGGGGCGTGGGGGGGCCGCCCACACCACCTGGGCGTCCCGCGCCTTGGCTTGGGCTGACGCCGCCTGGCCAGCCTGGGCCGCCTCCTGGACCTCCGCCGGCGGAACCAACTCCCAGGACTCGTGGTGGGTCAGAGCCGCAACCGCTCCCACCATCCTGTGCTTGGCCAACAAGGACGCCGCGTACTTGGCCCCGCTGTAGTGCAATGGCATGCGAGCATCCTCCGGGACGTCGCCTTTGGTCTGCCAGTCGCCCAGTGCCGCCATGTCAACCCCACCAGTTGGCCCACCGTGGTACCAACCCGCCTGAACGAGTACGATGACACCATCGCCGGGTTCTCCACCAAGTCCGCAAACTCATGCCGGACCATCCGGTAAACATCGGATAGCGACCACGGGATCCCCTCCCGACGGAACGCCAGCCCGCAGTCTGCCTTCTGCTTCTCCGGCACCAGGGCGAAGTCATGGAGCCAGGCCGCCGACCAGTCCCACCCGGTTGACAGCTGTCCGGGTACGCAGAAGTCGAAGCCCTTGCGAAGGCGCCGCTGCTTCCCTTTGATGCAGTGCGCATGGACCGTCGACATGGTCACCTTCCGCACCTCCGCCCGAGTGAGGTGCTTGTGGCGTAGAACTCCTCCATAGAGCATCCATGCCGCCAGCAACGCTTGCCAGCGATCATCGCCCTGCGTGTAGAGCTCCTCCATCCGCTGCTCCATCTTCAGCAGCATCACCGGTTCCACCACGGCTGCCTGTCCCCTGGGCCCTGCCCGGCGCGCCTGTCCCGCAGGCGGCGTGAGCATGCTCAAACCCAGATCCACCCTCGCCTGCTTGGTGAGCCAGCGCAGTGATTGGGTAGCACGGGCCGGGGCAGCTGTTCCTTCGTGGAGGAAAACATCAAGGTCGACCACCTCCGGCGGCAGCGGGCGAGAACGCGCCTGCATGAAGGTGATCACCTCACCCCATGTGCGCAAGGCATTCAACACCGTGGCCCTTTCCGCCTCCGTCACCAACCGCTGCGCCAAACGAGTACATGATCCTTTCCACTCGCGCCGCAGCTGCTCCGTCAGGACTCCTGTCGGCTTCATCGCCCCCATGTCCTGCAGTGCCTCGCCGAGCCGCTGGACCTGCATCGTGATCGCCTCCGGTTCGTCTTGAACTGCACGAAGGCGTACCGCCGGAGCCCTCGAAGGCCGAGGGGCCAGAGGCCGAAAAGGAAGGTGAACAGCCGTCCCCCGGCTCTCACCCTCCACCACATCAGCCGCAGCCGGCAGCAGCTCGGACTCCTGGGCGCTACGCACCCGCACCCACGAGTTGGCCAGGTCCCTGCCGCCAGTAGTCAGCGCCTCCTCAAACGAGCGGAAGGCGAACGCAAAGTCCGCATCATTCTGCAGCCCGTACTCGCGCCTCCACCTGGCGGTGTGCTGGGCGCCCACCGCGCCCAAAGCCGACTCCGGGTCCCACTGCCCCCCGGCGTCCCCCGCCAGGCGAGCGTAGATCCCGGTCGGCACAGCTGCCATGGCGCTAAGGATCCCCCAGAGAGACCAAATGGCTGAGGCATTCCTCGCAGATCGGCCTGTCCCGGATGACGTTCCTTGTGAGGGCACCACACCGCATGCAAGGGGGGGGAAAAACACGCTCTCCTGCCGCAAAACCGGCCAGCCACTGCCCCAGAGCCTTCCCGGCCCAAGCAGTGGCCCCATCGCGACTCTCCCAGTCGCCGGAGGGGATCGGCTCATATGCCGGCTCTCGCCAAGAGACCCGGCCTGCCTGCCACCTCCTCCACGCCCAGAAGACGGCCTCCCGATCGAGGCCACACTCCTCGAGGCCGGCCAACTCCACGTAGCCAACGAACCGCGCCACGTGCTCGGGGACCAGCTGCTGCACTCGCATGCCCGAGTCAACGGCCCGAAGCTGATCCTCATCCAAGTAGTCCCGGCCCGCATAGTAAAGGTCCCAAGCTGCCTCTGGGCCAACCTCCGCTTGAACCAGGACTGCGCGTTTGGTCCATGTCCCGAGCCACGGGAACTGGAACCCCCCACGCATCTCTGTGCACCTAGCACACCCTTCCACCATGCAGGGAACCTCCCGCAACGACCCCAGGGAATGAATGCGAAATTCAGAGGTCTCGGTTGGGGGGAGGTGCACCACCACCACAACAGCCCGCCACAGCCGAACGGCCTGGTCCCGTTCCCCACGGGCCAGCAGTCCTTGCACGTAGGATTCGAAGTCCATGAGGGCCGCCGGGTGCAACATCCGCGCCTGACAATGGGCCACCAAAAGGCCTGCATCGGCGCCAGACATGCTGGAGTCCCACTCCAGACAACAATATGACCGAAAACCAAAAAGGTGTCTGCCAATTTGGCTCAGTCTTGATCCAAAATGGCAGACCCATAACAATTGATGATACATGTTCACCCACTGCCTGCCAAGCTCTAAACATGGCATATATATACAACAAATTGGAAGATACATAATTAAGAAGACATATAACAGTCAGTTTTCTTTGAGGGGGGTCCTGTTTAGTGGTTGGGTTCTGTTCTGAAGGATGGACCGTTCTGTTGAGTCTAGACTCTCTCAATTGCCCAAGCACCCAGAAACAAAAAAGTTAACCTTTGGGGGGTCATGGGGAAATTCGCCAAAGCGGAGAAACCAAAAGGCCAGATCTGGTGGATTTGCTCTGGGTCCTCCAGTAGAGAGGTTCTGATTTCGGGTACAGTTTTTTTTCTGTAGTCTATTTTAATAGGGGAACCCTCCCCCAAAAAAGATCTAAACAGGCCACTTAGCTGGGGGACCTAGTGAGAAACGATCGGTCGCGCGTCCATGGATGGTGCCAAGCAGCGATGAGTCGTGATGGGCGTCTTCTCTGCGAGGCCAAGGCCCGGGGCCAAGCGCACCTTGAGCAGAGACCCAGCCGAGGCACCGGACATAACCAAAAGTTTTTTCTCTGAAAAGGGAGAGAGAACAAGTTGATTTTTTTAAACGACCCGATGAACACGGCAACCGTCACACATCTTCCATGCCAAGCCGCGTGCCCGCGGAAGCTTTACAACGCGCCATCCACAGTGAGAGATATTCTTTCCCACTGGCAGGCTTCATCCACCGCTTCAACGACAAGCCAACGAAAGGGAACAAGGGTGGGACAAACTGGGAAGAACCACATGGTTTCAACATAGACCGGCCTCAACCTGAGCATGTTTGTTTGCGACTAAAAGCCCATAAGGATTCCTACAAGTCCCAAGAGAAAGCCACACCCCACCTTACACAGAATGGAAGTGGTAAGGGGATTCAGGGCCCCATACCATTGGCTCAGGTAGCTGCCTCCAGGATGGGTACATCGTGACAGCCAGACTTCCAACTTCCAAACTCCGCATCGTTTTGAATCGGGCTTTCCTTTGGGAACTGCGAAGTCAAACCCTTCGATGGGGGAAATGTAGGGAACCCTGCCCAAGGTCATTCCCATACCGAAGCCAAGCAAGGCCATCCGGGGGAAAAAGCAAAGCGCCAGCCAAAACCATAGGAGCTTCTCCTACTTCGCGTTTTTTAGTTCCATGCTGTCCCAAGTACGCTGCTTCCAGCGAGTCAATGGGAAGGGTCTTTGGGGCCCGATGGTAGGGAGGCGACAATCCAAACGCAGGGTCCCCCTTTCATGGCGCCTGCTTTTGTGCGGGAAGGTGCCGCCATTTTTTGTCGTCTGGAGCTTCTATGTTTAAGTCTCACCCATTTTGAGGCAAACCAACTTGTCCAAGTATTCAACGCACCGAGGGGGCCATACATGACCATGAAAGCCCAAGAAGCTGGGGGTACATGAGATACCTAAGCCAAACATGTGTGGTCTGAGGGCCCGGTCCTGGAAGTCTTCGGAACATACTTCAAACTGAGGGACTCCAAACTGTCCTTAAACAAAGTGCCGAGCTGCAAACACAAATGACATGCCAACATACTGTGGACACAATAATCCACAAAGCGCAGCTGCATGGAAGAAACCAAATCAATGATACACACAAGCAGTCCCAACTCATGCGAAGTGGATCTTGTCCATCCAGAGTGGCCCCGAACGGACCTGCAAACAAACTGCCCTTTTTCTCTTTTGGAGCGCTTTTGACCCGGACCACATCTAGGGTAAACAGTATCAGACTCTGCTCCTTTTGAAGTCCACCCTACCCAACCTTTGCAAGAGACCCCAGTTCAAGTGGCCCCAGTTCGAGTTTTAGCACTGAAAGCTGCCGCGTAGGTTCAAGGGACCAGTGACTGACTCACCATAAACCAGAAAAATAGGATGACCCCAGCTTTCTGGGAAACGAAAGGGCTGGAGAACGGCCAAACAGCCTGGGCAAGCTCCAGCAGCTGTTCGTAGATGTTGGCGCCTTTCACGCCACCCGTCCTCGCACAGAGAGGTGCTCGTAGGAGTAGTCATGGGGTCCTTCCAAACCTTCCTGAGTTGTTTGGCCCGGAAAAGGCGGCGGGGCTTGTTTGTAAAATCACGACGGCCTTCCCAAAAAGTGTCAAGTCTTCTTTGCAGAAGTGAGAGAACTTGCGGAAGTTGAACATCACCTTACCCCTTCAAATCCCCAAACCAACAATCCAACTCACCAAGGGAAAGTTGGCAGAAACGGGTTGGGGGTGAGGAAAAACATCAACGATCGTCTTCTGATCTTCATTAAGGGACTTGTTTGCACCGATGAGTAATTTTGCAAAGGCCTCCCGCTCCTCCAAAGGCGTCCCTGCATTTCCCACGAAGCCTCAACCGAGAGAGTCCTCAACATCATCTCCAGGGGTAAGAAGAGGCGACTGCGCCCATAGCAGCCCTGGGCCATTGGCGACTTGCATGGATGTTTCAAGGGAGCAGGAAGTCTGCAGGTATCCCATTGTTCCAATCCCGCGATCCTTGGCAGAAAGCCAGAAAAAAACGATTGGGTGTGATGCACACCCAAAGAATGAAAAAGGCATTTGAAACAACTTGGCTGTCACACACAAGCGCTCCTTTTCCTGGGTCGCTATCGCAAAACAATCCGAACCAATGTCACAGCTCCACTGTAACACAAGCCGTGCTTCTGCCCATCTGAGCACTACACTCGGGCCCCCCACAGTTCCCCTTTAATCACCAACAGTAAGCCCACTACCAATAGCTGAACAACACCAGGGGAAACATGGTGGAACAACTGCACGGCCCTATGCTGGCTGCAGGTCCAAAGATTGAATTCACCGTGCAGCCGGCATCACCAGAACATGCAGACCTAAATGGTCAGCTGACTGAGCATGAGGGGCAACACAATGGTCAAGCCAGCGTGCATGCAGGAGCTCACCTGGGTCAATGTGAATTGAGCCCGAACCTAAAGCGCAAACATGTTTTTGCCATCGTCACGTGGTATGCAGCCAAAATCATGTTTCTCGGTTGCTTTCTGCTCCCCTGCCAAAAGTTTAACTTTTAGGCTAATGAGAAACCCATTAGTTGGCAAACAAGTTAAAAGTCCTAACACCCAAGCAACATGCAAACAAAGTTATGTTTCACGTGTAGCCTACCCAGCCAATGATATGTTCAGACTCGGAAGCCCAAAGATGCTACGACTCTACCCAGCCACAAGGGTGGTGATCGTCTCCTTGTACTGCTCGACGGTGTTGAGCACGGGGTATTTGCCTCAGCCCAGTGGATTTCCGGCTCCCGATGCGGGTGCGAATTGGGCACAACATGGGCTCGCTTCATCTGGGTTGGGCAGAACCCCCTCTAAAGAGTCAGCTCTACAAAGGTCGAGGGAGCCAAGTAGCTCGAAAGGAAGACCAAACGGAGACCTGTACAAATGGCTTGGGCTTGCTGGCGCCCTTCACCCAACAAACCCTCAAAGGGGTTCCTTTCACCCTACACACCCGGCAACGGGGTTCCTCGGATACTTCTAGGGGTTGGTTCCCCATTCTTTTCAACCATCGTTCTTTTTAAACACCGCATCTGTTTCGCCTGGGTTTTTGATGGTTTCCTGAAAAGACTCGGATCCCTGGGAGAGACTGGGGAAGCTACCCTTAGCTTGGTGGTTCCCAATCATTTGGTTCCTTAGCTTTATGGCGTTTTCGGGTTTTGTGGGGGAGGTGCCAAAATGGACTCCTCGCCTTTCCGCGGACACGGCGCTGCCTGCGGCGTTGTGTGACCCGATCAACGCGCCCTGGCCCCCGAAGAGGTAGATGGAGTCCCCGTGGGCCGCCGCTGTGAACCTGAAGCGGTGGGAGGGGATGCTGCCGCCGGGGAACCAGGTGTCCGTTTCCACGTCATAGACCTGGCAGAGCTCCAAGACTTGGAGCTCCGAAAAATGGTGGGGGCTGGCCTTAAACCAGCCAGGAAGAAGCATCCCTAGGTGCCCAAAAGCCCCAAACCATCGTTGCCTGAGGACTTTTTAGGCCTGGGGGTTGGGTTCTGCAATGACATCGCTCTAAATCGGAAGGCTGTCGAACACCTGAAGCAACCTATGAGCCATTCAGACTATTTGTCCAAACTAGGATTTGGACTCAAGAACGGGCGTCGGCTTTCCCTTTGGTTTCCCTTTAAAAGCCAATCAAAAGAAGGACACACCCAACAGAGCAGCAAGCCCAAATCCCTGACCTCCACATCCATGAGGGGCGTAGAGTGGCCATCCTGGTTCTTGGACTCGCCCCCCACGACGTGGAGCTTGCCGTTCAAAACCGCCACCGCCTTGTCGCCCCGGGCCACGCTCATGGCAGCGCGCGCCTTCCAGCCTCCGGAGGGGCTGGAAAGGAACATGACCTCCAGGTGGTCCTCAGCAAACCGCGCGATTTCCAAACGACCAGAAGTAGCAGCCTAGTTGGGTTGGTCTGAAAGGGTGCGCGAGGGCAAGGAAGTTGCACAATTCTCCTTTTGCGTAAGTAGAGGAAATGATTCATTAAAGCAACACGGGCGAATCTTCTCCGATCTTTCACCCAGCTGGCTGCAGCTGGGGGTCCATGGGATAGGACCAGTTGCTGTGGTGGAAGCCGCCTAGCGCAAAGGCCACGTCCCCAGCCACCGCTGAGGCCGCGTCGCCCCGGCCCTGGGTCAGGGCTTGTCCGTCGCTCCAGGCCGATGCGCCGCTTTGGGCGGGGTCGAAGACCAGGACCTTGTCCTGGGCGTCGTAGTTGGGCCGGTTGTAGCCCCCCAACAGGTAGACCTGGCTCCGCGACTTTTTTTAAAAGGAGCTCGGGAGAAGGTCTGGACCCTTTTCTCGGGTTGAGGTCTTCAAGGGAGATATTTTGGAGTTGCTTCAAGGGGAACCCGACTGGCAAGCGCCTTTCTTGGGGAGGAGGTTTTCTCATTTGGACACACACCCGCCTTCCCCCCAGATACAAACGAAGACAGGTCCGAGGTGGCGTTGGGCATGCTGGTGCTCAAAGTGGACCACTGACCGGTTTGCGTGTCCAGCACGTCGACTTCCGTAACGATTGCGTCCGAAATGTCGCAGCCTACATGGTCGTAAGTTGTGGATTCTCAAAACAGCGTACACCTTGTTGGATGGTATTGAATGGAAACCAAAAAGGACGCCAATTGTTTTGTGTGTGTGTGTTTTTTTTGGGGGGTCCTTTGTTTTGGTACAAGCCCCCCAAAAAGGCCAGCATCCCACATCCATGTTGGTAAGATATGGGAAAATGCGGGTACATATTCCCTATATAGAGTGTCTAGGCGACCGTGATGCAGTTCCGCGGGATTGCACGTTTTGTGTAAGGTTGATCCCCTAGGTCTCATGGAAAACTCGCTTGCCCAAAGGACATGGAAATCAAAGATTAACCTTGCGTGACCTTGACTAAATATCTAGGTCCTCCAGGTTAGAAGAAGGTTACCCTATTTTCTGTGGACTAGTTCAGTAGAAGAGCCCTCCCCCAAAAAAGGGTAACAGGGCACCACTGGGGGACATGGACCAACATGGGGAAAACACAGAGGTCAGATCCGGTCGCTTCGCTATTGCCAGCCCAACTCCCACGCTGACCCCCGCTCCTCCGAAGACGAAGATCTGGCTCCCCACCGCCGCGGCGGTGTGGCGGTATCGGGTGCGGGGCGCATCCGTGAGCGCCTCAAAGCTGTCGGAGGCTGGGAGATACTTCTCCACCTTCTTGGTCAAGCCGCTGCAGAGGTACATATCCGCACCCACACTCCACTCCTTCCGGCTGCGAACAGTTGTTGCAAACTCGGAGAAGCAATCCAACGCTAAACTCATGGTAAAAAGCTTGAAAGTCTTAACTGGGCCCAAGGCTGCTAACAGAACATATTAGCCTTTTTGCTTCTGGCTCATTCTTAGCCTAATATGAAAACACAAATCTGAGACTTCGAGGGCATTGCTGGGTTCCGAGCTGCTTGGTCGTTGGCGCAGCCACCGATAAGGTAAATCCCATCCCCCACCGTGGTGGCAGTGAGATCGCTGCGTGAGCTGGGCATAGCGCTCTGGGAGATCCATTGGTGGGAGTACTCCTGGCGAAATCCCCGCGAGCGATTTCGAGCGACTGGTCCAATTCTTCTTGGGGGATTTGGGCACAAAGGCCGGCCGTGACATCAGTGCGCCTTGGTTTCAGGGTCCCCTCTTGGAAACCCTCATTTTTGGGGAGTCTATTTGGGCACCACACCCTAGTTTCCACAGCCAGACCCTGACCAAACTCAAGTTGTTGAAGCAACAAATGACTGAGGGGGTTGGCCCAACTCTGACTCCTGGTCATCGATGGTGAACTGACTTCGAGCATAGGAAAGGAGCAGCGGAAACGTCGCCAGCGCTCGGCAGGCCATGGTTCAAAACTCAGCTTTGTAGTCTGTACCGCTGGATGGCTGCTCACTTGGGCCAAACGCGTCAACACGCACATGCGTGGCTGTGGGTCAAAGATAGGTACCCAAAATGGAACCCTGGTAAGTGGCAACATGGACCAAAACCTGTGGTCCCCTGGTGGTTTAATTTTGACCCATACCCACGTCGGGTTTTGCCCAGCTCGCCAACCGCCCACCGCGAAATTTAGGCAGCCATCCAAGGAGCTGCTAGGTTTGGATTGCAACTGAGACCGGTGCCGTGCTGTTCTGGTCGTCCGAGCCAGTGACATCCATGCAAGAAACATGTGACTATGAAGAAATTTACATACATGCATATACGTGCGTGTGTCTCATCTGGCGGGTAAAGGGCTTGAGCCATTCTTGGCCCGGCAAAGCGTCTCTGCAAGGCGCGCCCATGCACATGGTTGCCGGAAAACCACTTTCTGTGATACATTGTGATACGAAAGTAGGACTCCGATACCTATGACTACTTTGTGACTTTACTCACTTCCGGAGCGGGTGGCTAAACGCAAGTTCACCTCCTTTTTTGCCACGAGAAAGCGGCAGCCTTCAGCGTTTTCTAACAACCATGGCTGGAATTAGGCTTCTTGTTGGTGCCACCTTCTTTGGGATTCAGCCATTTTAGGAGTTCATAACCCTCAGGTGTTAGCCATTTTGGGGCATTGGCTCCAAGCTTGTCGCTCGCCCCTTTTTCGGCCTAGGCCTTGTCGGGCCGCACAGACCTGGCGGCTTCTGGGTGCGACTTGTGACAGGCGCTTCCTGATGCTCGGCATCCTACAAGGTTGCTACCACCAAGGGAGGCCAACAAGACACCGTTTTTAGTATCTTGGTGGTTCCCCTCTGAGTGGAACCGATTAATAACCCCGTGTCACGCTGGTTGATTCTATTGTTCTATTGGGTTGCGCCCCCTTGTAGTGGGTGTTCAACAATGTTAGGAAGGGAACGCCTCGCGGGCTTTGCCACTCCGAGCTCGGCGCTTGTCGTGGAAACTTGCATCCAGCAGAACTGCGTCAATTAAATGCACCTCGGCAGGTGATCTAAACTGCGGATGGTAGCCGGATCGGGGTACCCAGGTACTCAGGTGTGGCTCCCCTTTGGGCAGGTGTAGGGGGCTTCTTTGACGAATTTGGCCCGGATGAATCACAAGAAATGGTCGTCGGCCTCCGGAAAAGGGCTTCGGGCGCAAGCCCTTGACATCACATTCGGAAATTGACGAAATGGCATCGAGAGCAGCGCGTGCGAGGTCCGCAAATCCTCGACCTCAGCAAAGAAAAGCTGCACTCACCCGGTGGGACAGGTTTCAAGTTTGACCAGTGAAGGGAATCTGCACCTTCCATTTTCTGCTTGTCAGGTGAATGCATTCACGTTCCACATGGGCTCTGATAAAAAGCCGCGTGTTGTCGGTGCAAACCTGCTGGTCTGGCACCAGAGTGGATACATGGGCCCTGGACGGCCTCTCAGCTCTCGAAGAGAAACAGCGTGCTGAGCGCTGCAGCACTTTGAGAATCTTTGAGGTTCTGGCGGTTTACAGGGATTGATGACAACCCCTGTTGAGGCCTTTTGCCAGATCCCGCTGGGTTGGTTGGTCAAGTTCAAACTCTTTGGGCCTTGGCTTTCATGAAAAGAAAGCAGCCAAGAAGAAGTAAAGCTTGCAAGCTGAGATAAAGTAAGCAGCGTAATTTGGCTGCATGGGGTCCAAGAGTGTCCAAGTCCCAGCGACAAAGCGCGGAGTCGGAAAAAAAGGGCCCCCGTGCCGTGATCTTCTCCTTCGCTGTCTCGGACTGAAACCAGGCATTGGGCCTCGGCTCACGTGCTTAGGGGTTTGTTGCGGTGTCGCCAAAAGAGGTTGTTTAGACCATGGCTTGCACCGGTGAATGAATGTATCTGAAGGTAACCAGGGGGGAACCATCCGTCAAGACTCTAAACGGAAAATGGCTGGTTCCCTATCCACTGGGATCTGTGGGCATAATTGTGAAGCTCACCCCCCCTCCCCTGTGGCTACTGGAGACACGATCGCGATGCGGCAATAGCAGTGCGAGACCCAACAGCCGCCGGCCGTAACAGCAATGCACCATGCATAATCGACCGCACACACGCACACGCAGCTTGCCACTCCACCTTGCTGGCAAGCTTGCCAGGGGCGTCTTTTCCGCTCTTCGGACCCACCGTGTTCCAGGTTCAACGCGCAAGTTGCAGCACGGGGCCCAGGCCATTCCAAGAGGTCGCCCCTTTGCATCACCTGAGGCAAAGTCTCTCCAACCTATGGTTTTGTTCGGGGCTCTCAAGTGCCCGGCCACCCGCACGCCGAGGTGCGGGAAATGAGCTTCGGCCTCGCAAACGCTGAAGTGCCAAAATGGTCCAACATGGTGCGCCTCAAGAGTACTAGGGTCCCTACAAACTAATTGTTTGAAGTCTTCATAGTTATTTACAGTGCAACAACTCCACAGAAATTTGGTAAATCAGCAAATGGACACGGCCTTCTCGGAGAGGCAAATGCTGGCAGACCTGGCGATGGCTTGACCGCAGGTGTGCAAAGGCGTCACCTACCGGTGTAAAAAGCCTCAAGAGTTGCGGAAAGAACTGGAGCGCTTCTGACAAAGAGCCTTCAACAAAAACATTCATCCATGCACAGACTCATTTTCCACAATTTCCTTCATGGGTCCAATGTTGGTATGCATTTCCGACTGTCCTCACCAAAGGATCAAGTGAACCTCGCGGGGCCTCAAGGACCTGAGCAGCAAATGTCCCGAGCCCCGCCTCTGCCCACAGCCCCGGTTGCCCATCCCCAACCCGGTGTTGCCGCGGACCAGGCGCAAACTCCTGGCGACGCACGGAACTGCCACTTTGGGCTCCAGACCTTGCTCAAGATACCTCAAGACCAGGTTCTCTCCGTTTCAAGCTTGAAGAAGGGAGGTTACCTAAAGCGTCCCTTGGGCCATTTTGTGTGAGCCGTCGCGCTGAGGTCCCCGGCCCAAGGTTGGCTGCGGCGAACTCATTCCACTCTGTCAGCCGCTCCTCTCGACTCCCGACTCCCGGCTCCCGAGGCGCGAGGCTCTTTGCGACGCAAAGCGAGCTCCGTCCTCCACTTGGGCCACCAACGGGGTCTCTTGGAAACCGAAGGTCCTCAAAGTGACCTCGGATGGCTGGATTTGAAGGACCCGTGTTTTTTTTTGTTGTGCAACACCTATGGGACCTCTGGCAAGGCGGGAAATTGCCTGTGTGGGCGGATCTCTGACATTGGCCACTGGGGGGGGCGGGGCCAGTTGTTTCCCAAGTGCGCCCAAGTGTAGCAGGAAGGAAGCGGGGGAAAATCCCGTAGCATGTTGCTTGCGTGCAATTGGGAACCGGTTGGACATCAGCACGGTTAATTTCCTGGTGAACACCCTGCAACATGTGCTTGAACCGGGAACGCAGGTCCCGTGTCAGTCCCACATTTGAGAACCACGTTCAACTTCATCTAATAAGGGCGATATACTCCCTTAACCACGTGATGTGTACAGGTTGGACAAACCTAGGCGAAAGGAAGCCCAAACCGATTTTCGACTCAAACAAGTGTTGAACACACTTTGAATCAAGAAACCGTGTGAAACTCCAAAAATCATTCCCATCTGCGAGATTCACTTTCAGAAATGAGCGCCGCGTTTGGGGAATGTTTTGGACATGTCCCCGGACGAACGCCCACGATCCATTTGCCGCTCGGATCTCTCTGCAAGTTGTTCCATCGCTTTCCTTCGGTCTTCCGGGGCCCAAGCCGTGGAGCCTTGGAAGCTCGAGCTCGCCGGGCGTCCCTTTGCTTCGAAGTCCTCCGCCTCCTCCGGCGTCAGGAAGCTGGGGACCTCATGTCATCCGGCGAGAAGTTCGGATGACCCAACGTCCAACATCCATGCGCATGAGTCTCTAGTCTGCCTTTGGGGCGCTGCGGTGGGGTTGAGTTCGGGTGCCGTTCCTAGTCAAACATGTTACGGTGCATGCGTTTACTGCCTCGGCTGAGACAGGCCACAGGACAACTCTTATATATAAAGGCGTATACAGGCGTGGGCCTTGAACTGCTATACCTGAGACTGGTGCCGGTAAGCTTGTTGGATACTTGCTAGATTTGATTTGTTTCAAGGGGAGGCGCACCAAACGCGTGAACCAAAAGTGCAACATTGGAGGGCGAGCGAGGGGCCCTGAAAGAAGTGAGGGAAGTCTTGCAAAGAGGCGCGAAAAGGACGAAAGGGAGCATCCAAAGAGCAAAGAAAAGGGAACTCAGAGTAACAGCACTTCACGCAATCCATGCATGTAATCTATACCAACCCCCCCCAAAAAAAAGAGCCTGTACAGGGTAAATGTGGGTAAACATGGGAACAGCTTCCCACAAGGGCCTTGATATTGTCAACTTCGACGTGTAACCCCTGGTGGTTTCCGCTGCCATGCTGGCAGATTTGGGCAGGGGAATGTCGGATCGGACTAGCTGAGCTTAACAAGGTGCATGCGCAACAAGACGCCCATAAGCCAACACGCACGGCATACAGGTCACAGGCCTGGGCCACGGAACGTGTATAACAAGATGGCAAAAGTGAGTGTGGGTGCGAAGACATGCGCGGGACGAAGGCAAAGGCTCACAAGCATCAAGCAAAGGACGTTTAAGTGTCACAAGCTTGCTGAGACTTGTGGTGCGCCAAAAGGATAAGTCTGACAAGCGATAATCACAAGCACGGGGCAATAAACTTGTCAAAGGGGACGAAGGGTTTTTCAAAGGGCGTGATACACTACATGTGCATCTGTCCCAAGAGAGGGAACTGCACAGGTCGCAAGAAGCGCCCTCTGCGCATGGCAAACATCCTTATAATGCATGATCATGTGTTTTCCCCCCTCACGTTGCAAAGAGAAATGAGATGGCTGGCCATTTCGGGTTCCTTCCAGATTTCTCGGGTAGAACCACACATCATGGGGAATAACTGGGAACAACTGTAAGCCATTGGGAACCATGGGAAACCATTGGCAAATTCACAATCCCAGAAACCACGAGGAGGTCCATTCAACGCCGAACTTTTTTCCTTCGATGTCTCTCAGAGAGGAATCTCGGGTCTCCTGCCACCCGCAAGGCCGGCTCGGTGCCCAACCTCGGTGACCCAAGTTGGACCTGGAAAAAAATGGCCGCGGTTTTCTGTTTTTGGTTTCCAGTAAAAGGTGGACCAGCGGGCTTCTCAGGTCTGGTGGACAGTCGAATGCACCCCGAAAACGTGTTTGTGATACAGCCCACGTGCCAGAAATCACGGTCACCTGCGAAGGGTCGCCTCAATAAAGACCAAGCATACCAAGCCATCCGGGGCATGAAACAAGCACAGTAAAAAAACAGGCACTCCCCAGAGCAATGAACAGAACCAAACAAACATCAATCGCTCAAAAACGAAACAAGAAACATCAGAATCCAACCCGGCACATGAGTAACCAACATCAGAAACAGCTCAACATCGAACGCATGAACCACCCACAACGCTTTGGCTTACTCCGATGCCAAAGCCACGCCCTCGCTCCCAACAAGCGTCCGGCGAGAAGGTTCGGCTCCTCTCAGAGGTGCCTCTATCGCCTTCCAGGCTGGCGATGTCGATGGCAGGGCACTCCTCGCGGCTTCTCCCATCTTTTCCCTCACTGGGTTCCCCAGCTAGGTGCCCTTTCTCAGCCCTTTTTGAGAAGAGGGCTCCCTACCTAGCCTCACTGGGGCTGGAAGTTCCAGTGGTCTCATCGGTGCCTCCCTGAAGGCTGTGGCCTTCGTGTGCCTGGAGCTTTTGGGAGGTCAGCTTTGGGCACATTCTCGAAAGCCAGCGACAGCCAAGAGCTCCTCTGCAGCCACCGTCATGCTTGGCGAAGAAACCTGGCGAACGGAAAAATACAAACGATCTGTTTGAATGGATGTTCAATCCTTTGAATTCATTCGCTACTAGGTCTCACTTCCTTCCTTGATTGGCAACAAGCACGCTATAGGTATAAAGTCCAAGAACCTGGGAAGTGAGTGGGTCCAGCTGGGGTAAGTGAGCTTAGCCATGGTTGCAACCTACTTGCGCGGGGGACACTGTGGCGCGCACGACTCGTTTGACGTCCACGTTGAAGAAGCAGTTCACTCCGAACCTCGGTAGCCAGACATACTTGAGGCGGCACGGGTTGGGAGACATCCCCGAGACTCAGCGGGGTTTGCTCAACATAGAGGGACCTCCTTTTCACCAAAATAAAACACGCATAGGGAAGCCAACCTGACTAGGGGTCCGATTCCTACTTTGAGACACGTGTCAAAATAGCGGAGACTCTATGGGGTTCTTCTTAGTTTCCCGAACCAACATGAGAAGGGTAATTACACACAAACACACGCCAGGAGTCTTGAAGCCCAGGCTTTACGCCAGTGGCCGGAGGCCGGCCAGCGTGCACCATGCGGCTATCCTGGCAGCTTTGGGCATATCTCTTGACTTAGCGACTTCGCACGCGCTGTTCGATTTCATTCTCAAAAGCCTGGCCCGAGTTCCAAGGGAGATCTTGTTCGACTTCCTTTGTTTAGGCAGGGCAAAGGTATCCCAAACATCCCCAACGCACCATTGATGCGATATGAAGGTCTCAGGTGCCTCAGAGCCGTCTTCCTGGGCATTGGGCCACATCACGGCACATCCTGGCCATTCGCAGCGGGCAAGTGCAAAGAGTCCCACAAGTGGATAGGAATCTGCAGGAAGGGTGAACCTTTGCCAGGGAATTGCGCCATCTACCTTTCATTGAATATCTGGTCAATTTTTGGAGATTGCCCCCTACCCCATTCCGACTGAGACAATCCATTCCCACAAATGGGAGGACCAATATGAGGGGATCGCCAATTACCTAGTAACCCTAGTTGCAATTGTGCACACGGCGACTGGGAATTAGCCACCGTACTGCGGATACAGGCAGTTGGGATTGGTTTGACCCGGCTTTAAGGCTTCATCGGCTTCATCCATCCCAACTAGTAGGCGGATTGTGGCCCGAAGTATCTAGGCCTTTCACCCCTAACGACCTGAACTATATCCTCCTTTTTGGTGGGGTTTCCATCAAAAGCCTGAGGTCTTCCGGAAGCCTTCCCTGACTCAGACCTCCCAACTTGGAACTTTGTGAGGGACGAAGCCGTTGACGCTGGAAGAACTACGCCTCCCCCCCTACAAAAAACGGAAAGAAATATCCTGGGAGTTTCTTCTCTTCAAATATGATGCTCCCAGGAAAGTCCCAAATTATTTCGCTCGCAATGGCTCATACTGCCTTGTTTCTAGGCGCAAAGGCGCTGGCCAGCACGTGGAGACAACATCTACGCAAAGGGAAGGGAGCACTCAGCACAGCAACATGGAACCAACAGACAAAAGGGTCGAGAAATATTTTTTGTTTTGTTGATTTTTTTGGATTGTTGCTGTTGGCCCTCCACAAACAAATCTGCGATTGAGACGGCACAATTAGTTGTCGAAGGATCTGCTGCGTCAGTTTTAGAGGTCTACTTGAGGAACCACGCCCTGAGGGGATCTATTTGCGTGTCATTTTTTAGGGGACCTCCAAGTGTTGGTTTCAGTTTTAATCACCAAAATACAAAAATACCCATGTTGATCTTGTTTTGTGTCTTTTGTTTCTTTGGGGGGGGACCAAGCCAGGGCCGGCCTGTTCTGGGAACAAAGCTGAAGCCAAGGTGCGGGAAGAAGGTGTCGCCCTGCGAGCAACTCGTGCAAATGGGCAATTCAACCCGCGGGAGGGACTGAGAGAGAGAGGGAAATTAAAGACAGAAAAAAAGACAGAGAAAAGAGAAAGGGCCTCTAATTAAAGAAATCAAATTAAACTGAATTAAAGAAAAATAGACAAGGAAAAAGAAAGGTAAACATAACGCTGCGAGAAAAAGAAAGAAAGAATCCAGGGCCTGGGTGGTGGCCCATTTTAGGTGTCAAGCAGTGCGCTTCTGGAACAAACTCTTGGGGTCCTTGCTGGTTTCAGGGATCCCCCCCCCACAAATATAGGTTTTCCGTTTAATGGTTCCCCTGTAAATGCCAACCAGCAAAGATTTCTCCTGGTTTCGAAGTGGTACGAAATGGGTTTCGTGGCATGGAATAACCAGCCACAATCAAACCAGAGCTCAACTTTGTTCCCTGAGTTGAGTGAGGCACTCCAGCATTGTCCGGAAGCTCGTTGAGGTAAATGAAGACGGTGGTAGGCCGAAACTTCCCGTCCTAGGTAGCTCGTCTTTCAGGTTGGACCCGCAATGGCCACGGCTTCCTTTTGTTACTCCCTACGGCCGCCAAGCGTGACGAGGCGATGAGTCTCATTTACGTAGGGACTGCCTAGGAATTCTCGGCTTAGAGGCTTCCCCAACTTCCCCGCCAGCACAGAGACCTGAAAGGCGAGGTCCTTCGATTTCCTCGCAGCTTCACTCGGACGGCAAACTTGGGCCAGTGCGTGGTGGAGCGAAAATTCCTGGCCCGGCCTTGGGTAGCCGACAGCTTCCAGCAGGGGCACGCTAAGCCAAGCTAATCCCTAGACCATGGGACACAGCAAGGGAAAGCCACTTGGCAGGAAGGATAAATTGGGAGCGACCCAGAGGAACTGCATTTCAGGCCACACCTTTGCGATTCCCAGTTTCAGGCCTCAACGGACAAAGCTTTCGGACCAAGACGCTTCAAAGAAACGAGCACTCCAACCTAGCCACTGAACCCCGTGCTGAGTTCAGACCTGTTTCAAATTTCTTTTGGGACCCAAAGTCCTTAATTTCTCATGAGAAATCAATTGGACCCCCCCGTGCCACCACCAAGGATCATTTTGAGTTGCGGCGCCTTGATGCTGGTTTGGAACCAGAATCGAATGGCGCTATGTTCGGACAAACTCCTGCACCTGTTAGGATTGGCGGTTCATCACATTTCATCCCAGCATTCCCAGATTTCAAGTGGCGTCTGGTGGGTTTTGTCCATCAAACGCAGTTTTCTGGGTCCTCCTTCAGAGGTTGCCCTTTGTGGCTGCATGATCTTTGTTTTTATCTTCGATGGCAGCTGCCTAACCTCAGACACGGACTTCTTGAGTGGGTTGATGGTCTGCCTAAAAATAAAGAGTAAAAACGTCTTGGAACTCAGGAATTGGGAAAAAACTCATGGCCCGTCCCTGGACACCGGAGACGAAGCAAGCCACACAGTGACCGTATGTTTGTCCTAACGGACCTTCCCTTTGGAAGCGAGCCTCCCAAAAATTGCAGCCCCGGAAAATGGGCTTGGTCCTCATTGGCTCGGTTCAGTGGTACCCTCCCTTGTATTTTTTTGGATTTTGACGAAGAGGTGCCAAACCATGTTCCCATCTGCAAGGGCTCAAGCTCCCATTTGACTCTGGATCCCCGGCCTCCCATGTTCAACCACATTTTTGGCAGGGCGTGCTGATCTCTTTGACGAGCCATCGACCTTTCGATCCCCAAATCTGGGCGCCGCAGGCTCATAGCGCACCACCACCAGGCGCTCCAAGTTCTCCAACGGCAGCTTCGCAAGCCTCGGCTTTCGAGGCTTCGCGAGCGCAAAGCGCCAAAACCCGCGCGGAGAGTTGGTCTCCACCCAACCGAGGGACGGAAAGAGAGTGGCTGTATACCCTACCCATAGTGGCTATATAGTGGTTGCATGTTTTGTTTTTGAAGGGGAGCCCTCAAAACGCATCCATTTGGGGAACCAACATGGACACTTTCTCGGAAGCCTAAATGGAGCTTGAGGCAATTGTTTGCCCAAAAAAATACAACCCACAGGCCCCAACAACCCCCCGTCTTTTTTGGATATCCAAAGTACCCCTGCCGGTTTCCGTGGCTCAAATACCAACCTTAATGGAGCCGGCTGGCACCCGGCACGAAGTCAAGCCCGAGCCCCCCCTCCCAAAAAAACAACAGAAGAAGAAGCAATTTGCCAGGCCCAACCACCAATTTGACGTTAGACCCCAAAAGGAAGCATGCGCATTTGTTGTCTCCTAGGATGCATCCGAAACCCATCGGCCTTTTCCCTCCAGATCAGCTTGTATTCGGGTTGTTTGTGAATGTCTGTTTTTCTGGCCCGGGTATTCTTTGAGAGATCCAGTTAGGTCGAACTTGGAACTTGCCACATTTAAAGTGGATTCCGGTCATGTGGGGGTGTCTCTTGGAGGGTCCCTTTTTGCTTGGGTAGCGAAAGGGAAGCCACCCCTTTTTTGTTTGGTGGTCCCCTTGAAAAAACAACCCATGTCTCATCAACAGCATAGTTTGAACAATGATGTGCATTCAGCCCATACTTCGTCAGCATATGCTTGGGCTCTGGGCCTGCAACATGTGTGTCTTTCAATTGGGGGAGGGTCCCCGTTTTGATACATAGCCACATGCTAACGCAAATATGGGCCCGAAATGGTGGGGTTGAAAAGTAGTGCTGCATGAAACCGAAGGGAAAACCGAAGCCCGTTTTAAGGGTCCCCCCCCCCTTTCCCCCGCTGTTCCCACAAAAACACAAGTGGTGGTTTGCTTTTGGCATCGCCTTGTACCAAGGTGAAAAAGGGCACCATCTAAAAACAAGCCCATCTGTTCTTCCAAACGGACCTGATTCGGAGCCAAGGAAGCGATGGGAAGTTCATGGCCCATGGTCCTTGACCCCTTGTCAGTCCATGGCTCCTTTTTAAAGGGCGTGAATGGAAATACAGGGACCAACTGCCTTCTCTTTCATTCAAGGGCGCATCTGGCCCACATCTGCGGTACACAGAGAAGCAGATTTTCATATTCTGCTCATACTTGTGTTGTTTGGAGGCCCCCTAAATGCTCTAACCCAGCTTAAACCGTGCTCCGAGCCTCAACAAGCGGTAGCCCACCGTTTTTACTCGGAGGGGCCAATCCAAACCGCGAGTCGCAAGCTGACTCATGGACCCCAGATGCCAGGAATTCCGGCTGCGCCAGGCGTTGCTCGATGCGCTGCACCAGCACCGTCTGCGCAGGGCCTGGTGCAAAGGGTGGTCAGGTGATCAGTTTAGTCAGCTTTAGGTCAGGTTTTCCTGTCCATTTCGGTCAGTTTGGCCAACGGATGGCACCAAATGAAGCCTATAGGTCAGTTTGTTCTCCTTCAAATCGCTAGGTTCAAAATGGTTTGGCTCCCAGGTCCTTTGAATCAGTTTGGTGTTGACTTTTTACCGCCACCGATTTGTCCAAGACCCAGACCCGCGAAACACGCCAACGCCGCTCGGTCGCGTCGCTTGGGCCCGCTTGGGCCCCGGGCGCAAGGGGCATGAGCTGGAGGTGCGCGTCCTGTAAGCAGAAGCATGCCGTATCGTTTCTTGAAGGGGTTTTCTGACGGTTTGGTGAGGCTTATCGGTGAAGTCATTTCTTACTATGCCTGACAGTTTTCTTCTTGCCTCCATTTTGGTGGAAGTAGCATCACGCCAAACGAAACTCAATCCCTTTGATGAGTTGCCACGCATTCAGCTTCCTCCCTTGCGTCACGAAACCTTTCCGAAACCTGGTAGTACCTTCCGCCTCAAAAACCACACCTATGGCCAACTCGAATCAGCTTCCCTTCGCTTCTTTGGAGGCCCGGTGCCAGGGTTCTACTTTTTGACTACCTCAAGATAGACTTAAACCCAGGGGTTCTCCTTTCGGGGGAATGAACCCTGGGTTTAAGTCTATCTTGGTGTCCAAAAGTAAATTACTGCCCGGGGCGACATGTCCATTTCCAGGCGGACCGAGCCGAGAGATAGCTGAAGTGCCCGGCCGCGCTTCAGCAGTGGCGACTTTGTCCGTCTGTCCAGCTGCGGGGTCCGCAAACTTCCCCACCTCACGTGGCGTTTGGGACGGGGTCAGGACCCCGAAGGCCCGCCATACCTGCGAAATTCACCCCAACAACCCATTGCTCCGGGTTACAAGAAAGAGGGTGTGCCCAGGTAACTCGGGCTCAACCCAAAAAAAACGGAAACCATAGACCCAATCAAACAGGGCAGATCGAGGGCTTCCCGTTTTTGGGCGCCGATCCGCGACGCGGCTCAGTGACTCAGCGCGGCGCCAGGGATCGGATCCAGCTGCCCTGGGCGAGCTCGCACAGGTGATCGCACCTTCGGAGCTCTCTCTCTCTCTCTTCCGTTTGCGTGAGGACGCTGGTTTTTCCGGAAAACCAAGGGCCTCTGCCGTTGCGTCAGATTTCCTCGTTGTTTTTGTTGATGAGGTTTGTCCGGAGCGAGCCAACTCAGTGCAGGCGCTTCCTTCAGAGCCTCGTAGTTTTCTGCAACCCTTGGGCGACCGCTGGGCAAACGCGCTCAAAGCGTAACCAACCCTTAAACTCCTCTCAGCCCCTGGGGAAAAAAACAGCAACAAAAAACGGCGACGAGTGCGGACGTGAAGCCTGACATCCGAGAGAAGCCGCGGCCGGAGCTCCTTTTTCACGCCTTTACGATTCTCACGCCATGCTTGCGGCACCTGTCCGCGGCCATGGCCACCTCCAGCGAGCAAGCAATCCAGACCCTCCAGTTGCTTAAGCCCCTGGGAAAAATGAAAATATGCCCAGTAGTGATAGATTCCCTTAAGAACAAGAGAAAGTATAACATATTCTTAAGCAAATGGAAGAGAAAGTCTCCAGCAGTTTTGTTCGGCCTGTGGCTTCAAGTGCATGTTCAGGGATGGGTTTCGAGGTATGAAGGCTTATACGCCACAAGTATGAGCCTGAAAGGCAGTATGTACCCACTACATAGAATGACAAAAGTTGCAACCTCCATACCTCCAAAACCCATCCCTGAAATTGCCCCTGGTTTCCTTGAGGCTTGTGACCCTATCGTGTGCAACCCAGCCACGCTGGCTGCGGTGACCTCGTTCAAGGTGCCGACAAGGCTCTGCGCGAAGTCCTGCTCGGTGATTTCCTCGAAAAGGGACGCCCAGCTTGGAAATTGCAACTGCGAAGGCGTATGGTGTTTGGACCGCCACGAACCCAGAGTGAAACTGCACACAGCACTGTAAGTGTACAAAAGTGGCATCAACTGGCCAGCAAAAGGAAAGGTCATGCGGTCTACAACTACCAAAGGCCAAGTTCCACCAACTTTGCGTTTGAGTTTCTTGTTGTGTGCGTGTGTCTTGTGAACAATTTGTCCCCAACGGCGGAGGGACCTGATTGGGGCTCGGGGCCTGACTGGGCGAAACAAACTGGCAACTCCCCCGAGCATGGAACCAAGGATGACATTTACTTGTGTCCATGCCAACTTGCAGGGTATCCATCCCCTTTCTGGCTTCCTTCTTCGCACGCTAAGCTGTGTGCTCTTCATTGGGATTGGCTGTTGGTGGCTCAAACTCCACGCCGATCGGCACCAGTTGCATGAAGCCCCAAATGAACCATCTGCGCTCCGACACTTTAATATGGAACCCCCCAAAAGCCGAGCCGTTGATCAACATCTCCCTACGGACCGGACCCCTTTGAGCTCCTTCCACTGCGAAGCCGCTTTTGTCCATGTCAGTCTTCCGGTAGGCCCTCTTCATGAATCCATACGGTTTAAGTTTAGAGCGAAGTCTGATTGATCCATTGGTTGATTGATTCAATGCTGGACATCAACAAGACCTGGTTGACTTCTCATCATCAACAAAAAAAACCCGGTTGATGAGTTGCGAGTGCAATCAGTTGTGGGATGCAGGGCATTTGTGCGCCCCCCGCCCCCCAATCCAGCAGCTGTTTGGCTTTCAAGGGTTAACAAGCCCAAACCACTTCCTTCCTCTCTCCGGCGAATGCCGCATAAGAGGTGGCTCTTGTCTCCTTGCAGCTTGGTAATTAATGTTGAGGTGCTCCGGGGTTCCCACTAGCCCTCTACAAGAACCACAGCTTCAAATCCAAATCCAAACCACCAGACCCCCCCCCCCCCCGATTTCTGGAGCCCCGATTTCTGGGGGCCCTCAGACTTTTTCTACCGGACCCGGGTAAAATCATCTCAGCGCCCCGCGAGGGGACCCTCAGTGGGCGCCAGTTGGAACAGCACGCAGTCCAGCGTCTGCCGCATGCCCGCAATGCGCCTGGGCCACGGGGTTGGAGACCGAACGGCCACTCAAAAAAGATCCGCCATACCTCGGTGATTATTTGAGGGTCGTGTAATGCAGGCGATGTTCTTTGCTTTTGCGCGTGGGGTTTGCTTGCATGTATCCATTCATGAACCCGGTAGGCACCTGCGTCCAGGTGGGTGCGAGACCCCAAACTCGGATTTGACCCTTTGGATGACTTGTCAAAGGAAAAGGAAGGCAACCGATCTGTGGGCCCTGTTAGCATGCCGAGTAAACCTATTCTAAAAGCTCAAACGCCATGGCCCACTACGCAAACCATGTGGGCTGGGCAATTGCACCCAAAAGCGCTCTATGGACCCTTTTGGTCGCATTTCATGTTTTGCTGCACGTATGGCACTAACAGGGCAGTCATAACCTAACCAAAAACTACTACTCACTTGCCCAACGGACCAGGAAATAAAACTAACCTTGTGGGACCTCCAAAAAGGGGGAAAACCAAAAGGTCAAGGTCGCCCAACGCTCAGATTGTGCCTTTTGACGCGGCCAAGCACCTTGGATCTGGCAACTCCTCCGAGACGTACTCAAGATCTTCCTCTCCAGCTGGCGTGCTGTATGGCATGGTCGGCCTGTCCTTATTCGTGTCTCGCAGTGACATCCTCAATTCTAAGTGCAACAAGAGAACAACGAGGCTTACCGTGGCAGCTGATGGCGGCTGGTTGCATTTCTTCAACTTCCCGTCTCAAAATACGATCTTCGTTTGCTTTCTCCTGGACACACCCTCCCTCAGATTGGACACGCAAGTCCAAACCTTTTGGTTGCCACTGAATTGGACAAAAACACCAAATTGGTCATCAAAGAACAGAAGTCCAGGAACTCGTGGGAGGGAGACCCTCCAAGACACACACACACACACACTTGATATGAGACGGTGCATTCACGAGCATCCAGACATTGCCAAGAGACTCAGGATCTTAACGTCAAAAGAAGGAGTTTCGGCATCCCCGGCCGGGTGGCGTAGCAGTACATCCACGGAAGGTGGCCCTCTCCGTCGCCGTTCGCCGCGGCACTGCGAGGGAGGAAGCCTCCGAGCCGGGCCCATGGGCACCAAAAACCCGGGGGGCCACCTGGCTTGACGTTGGAAGGGGAGCGAACAAATTTATATGTTTTAGCAGTTCACTGGTTGGATTTCCCCCAAAAAAGCACAAGAAGCAAAAATGCGACATGTTTCCCAACAACCATGCCACCCCCAAAACAAGAAGTAGGCGGTTTCCCTGTCCCCGGTCTCGAAACGGGATATGACATGACCCCAACCCACACAGGTGAAGCCTTGGTTCCTGCAAGGGATGCCTCAAAGCTTCACTACGACTTATTCACAGGAACTCTGCTCGTGGATCCATCCTACCCAAAGGGATCCAAAAACTGCGGACGGGGGCTGAACCGCTAAGTGCACATCTCAGCCGGGTGGCGATAGACACGGCCTGGACCCCGCAGCAAATGGGTTCGGAACCGGATGTCCTGCAGCGAAGCAAGAACACCGCTGTTTCAGATAACATCGCTTCAAAAGAGTCTCGGCTACGAGTAGACTAAAAGCAACTAGCAGATGCACTGGCATAGGACAAAAGGTTGGCTCGTGCAAATGAGCATTGGTGCGCTTGTAGAGCGGCGAATGCTCGGAAACATGCATTGCTGCCAAAGCACCGCAAATTGGTTTGCAATGATGAGGTCGTTGTGCCGCTCAAAGAAGTCCTCTGTGTGGCATGTTTCAATGTCGGGCGCACCCACCCACCCACCCACCCACCCACCCACCCACCCACCCACCCACCCACGCACGCACGCACGCACGCACGCACACACGCACGCACGCACGCACGCACGCACGCACGCACGCACCTACGCAGGCACGCACGCACGCACGCCTGCCCAGCCGCCCGCCCTCATCAAGCAACGCAACGCAACACAACGAAACACAACACAACACAACAACACACAGACACACACACACAGACACACACAGACACACACAGACACACAGCACACAGCAGAACAAAACAGAACAGAACAGAACAGAACAGAGCAGAGCAGAGCAGCACAAACACACACACACACACAAACATTTATGACAAAGTTGGATTCCAGTGTGCAGCGGGCCTTGGCTACGAGTGAAGACCCGCCTGAGAGAAATAAAACAGCAGATCCCAGGAAAGGTGTCTCTCACTTGCGTCGAGCCAAAAGTTCCTTTTTGTCTCAGTACTGACATGGTCTTCCCCACATATGGAACGTCATACGCCGTCCTGGAGCTCAGGCCCTGGGTCAGCCTCAAAGGGTGGGGATAAAAGGAGAAACGCACAAATCCAAACAAAGGCTTCTGCGATCTTCTGCGCCATCCTTCAGCTTGCTCAGGCAGCGGGTGAGAAGTCTTTGATTCTGGTGGCAGGTGGGTCCAGCAACATCCTCAAATTGATCATCCCCAAACGCAACCTCGAGTGTTGGGATTTCTTTTTGGCCTCCCTTTAAACCAAGGGTTTTTTTTAATGCAACCCGAAAAGGACCCCTCTGGCGAAGCATTTCCCTCTAGGACTTTCCGGTCACATCTGTCACGACATTTCGCCCGAGGCGCATCGAAGACTTCGAACTTGGCGGCCGCATCGAAGTACTCCCCGGTGGCTGTGCCAAAGAGCCCCGGCTTCTCCTGACCCCAGCTCAAGGATCGAGGCACGTGGCTTTGGATGGTAGGGGTAGCTTCCATTTCTTCCAGGGATCCGAATCTTTCTAGAAAACCTCAAGAAAACCCAGGGAAAACGGATCCGGTTTTTGGAAAGAACGATGCTTGAAAAGAATGGAAAAGGAATCAACCCGCAGAATGGTGAGCTGAGCCTTGGTGCCCAAACACGGCCATGCGCCTGAAAGCTTAAGCATCCCAAGGGAGCGTTGTTTTGGGGCGGTTACCCGCCCTTCTGGGGACCATTCTCGGGCTCTACTTCGACACAACCCCCCCCCAAACACTCCATGTCTGCAACATGTTCTGAAAAGAAACACGTACGCCGGTACCTAGACACATCAATCATCAACCTGAACGCTGCGC